CATGTTTTATTCATATTGTTGTTCCTTGCACGATGTATACGCCCTCAGCATCTTTTAACTCAATTTAAAATCAAAGTATTCTCTCTTTTTCTTTTCATTTCAGATTCCTGTTACCTATTTTTTAAAATATCAGACTATTCGTGATACTAATGGCGCCTTGAAGGTGGTGAATAGAAACAACATGGCGTCTTTGAGTATGCTCAGAACGATGCGCATAACAAGCTTCCTGCTGCCTCTGCTGCTGTCATTGGCTGGGGGCGCGGAGGGGCGCGAGGATTCGGCCAATCATCTGCTTCTGTTTGACTCACTTCCGGGGGGAATCCCCAGCCACAAACCTGTTGCTCTCGACGTCAGAACCAACTTTAGCGTGAGTAGTTCTTGAGTGCTCTATGGGTTTTACTTTTTTATTTGTGTTTGTATTTTTAATTTAGTTATTTTTATTATTTTATTTTATTTTAATTTTATTTTATTTCATTTTATTTCATTTATTTATTTTATTGGGGTGGGGGGTTCTTATATTATTTGTTTTGTATTGTCAGGCTGGTTTTGTTTTTTCATTTTGTGTTTCTTCTGTTAGGGTTGTTTGTGTGTTGTTGTTGTTTTTTGGGGTGTTCGAATTAGGAGGCGATGCATGGTTCGTATTTTTTTAAAAGTTATTCTGTTCAGTTTTTCTTTTTGTTGTTGTTGATGGTTCTAGTGCTAGTGGTGTAGTGGGTTTTTTGTTATTTTGTATTGTTCGGGGGGATTTTTTCCTACAATTGGTTGAAGGTTGTTTTGCTTCGTTTTGTTTTGTTTTGTTGAGAGGGTTTGTTTTGGGGTGGGTTTGGGGTTTTTTTGGGGGGAGGGGGGAGGGGACTTTTTTCTTTTTTATGTTTAGCTGTTGTTGTTTTTCTTTAAAAAGAATAGACTAGTAGATACTAGTTGAGCTTGCAATAATAAGGACGCAGCTTCGATGAGGTGCTATTCTCATTTAGGTAAATCTCATTGCAGTAAGAATTTATTAATGTTCTTTATTCAATTCGAATCAAATCTCAGAGTGTATAGTCCTATGGCAACCCGCTTTACTGTAAACGTCTGCATTGTTTTGATTATTATATTTTTGTTGGGGGGG